ATGTGGGGAGCAACTGGAGCGTGGTTGAGAATGTTAGGGTTGACAAACGACGATTGATTTCAAAAACGTGATAAAGAGCAGCTGGAGTTTGGGTGGATCGGCATTGTAAGGTGCAGCAGAACATGACAGAATGTGGTAAGGGCAGCGTATAGATAGGGTAGAAGCCAGGGGCCGGGAGCAGCAAGCACCAACGAGCGGATGGGGACCCATCCTCTCACCCCCGTCCCCAACCTCGGATTCATATCCCCTCACAGTGATGGCATTTTTGTTAACCATTATAACCAGTGCTTGTGTGAGTCGTGTAGTGAGAATCGTAGCCTCGACGAAGCTTCAAAAATGGGAAGTAGAAAGTTCGTCGATCGCTACAAGTTTTTACGAAAGTTGGATAAATTGCAATATTATACGTTTATTCACTATGCAATAGAGCTTTTCCACAGTGCATATCGATTAGTCCAGAAGTGAATTAGTGAGTGAAAAAGTAACAAGTACACCATTGCTTTATATGGGATCCTTCCAGTCATAAGATTGATCTTTCAATACCTCCTTTTTTCAGCTCAACTGTCGGAGGTTTTGCTCGACGTCGTGCTCTGATATATCTTGTAACAGCAGTGACTGCCCTTCTCTTCAGCGTACTGTTGACTATTATGACAACGAATACTGTATGTTTGTTCGAAGCGCAGTTCTTGTTCAACTGCTCAAGTACTTATTTTTCAGGCTTCTAAACATCCAATTATGTATGGTGCATGGGCGCTCGCTTATCTCGTTGTCGTCTACCTTTCCTACAATTTCATCAAGTTCTGGATGGTGAAGCGTAATAAGACTGTGTTGGACAATGTCTAATCCTCTTATATTGTATAAGTATGCTGAGGTGTGGCGGAACAGATTCCTATGGGAATTTGTTATACCTGCCTCTTTTGGTGTACAGAGAATGAGCCATTCCGCGCCAAGATTAGTCTGTATGGATTTTGTGGTGCTGACATTTCAGTCGCATAAGTATGTTGGTCTATCTTATTTTGAGCGCTTCGTCTGTCGGTCTGTCACAAAAATCAGAGGTTTCATGGAGAGGCCGGGTCAAGTGTGGGTTGCTGGGACGTAAGAAATGCAAAACACACACTAACGTTTTGTTAGCTAAGCTGAGTCTGCCCACACTGGGCGTGGCGTGCATGAGGGATACTGACGGCGATTTCAAATACGGGACAATGGTTGACCAGAGGAGAAGGCTAGAAACCACAAATGGGTGGGGCATGCGTCAAAGTGGGCGGGGTTAAAATCGCCACACGGTCTAGAGATAAGAAGAAGTGGATAGAATCGAGCCTGTTAGAGCAGGTCGAATATTTGTGGTCGATTGGTCTAAATTGAGAATTATGGCCGAATCGCTCCACATCACTGCAGAATTGTGAGCGTGACAGCATCCTGCGCCAACTTTTTGTAGCATTTTTGGATGAGGGGGGGATGGTGTTCGCCTTCTTCCGTTTCATGTTCTTGTTACCAAGTACATGCACCCCTATCTACTGGAGGTATTTATGTGGAGAATTCTTTATTATAAACTGTGAAGTCTAGTGAATAGCCGACAAAGATGATGATGGAATTGAAAAACATGATGGGGAGCAACTGGAGCGTGGTTGAGAATGTGAGGGTTGACAAAGACGATTGATTTCAAAAACGTGATAAAGAGCAGCTGGAGTTTGGGTGGATCGGCATTGTAAGGTGCAGCAGAACATGACAGAATGTGGTAAGGGCAGCGTATAGATAGGGTAGAAGCCAGGGGCCGGGAGCAGCAAGCACCAACGAGCGGATGGGGACCCATCCTCTCACCCCCGTCCCCAACCTCGGATCATATCCCCTCACAGTGATGGCATTTGTTAACCATTATAACCAGTGCTTGTGTGAGTCGTGTGGTGAAAATCGTAGCCTCGACGGAACTTCAAAAATCGGATGTAGAAGGTTCGTCGACCGCAATTTTTGGAAAAGTGGGATAAATTGCAATATTATACGTTATTCACTATGCAATAGAGCTTTTCACAGTGCATATCGATTAGTCCAGAAGTGAATTAGTGAGTGAAAAAGTAAAAAGTACACCATTGCATATATGGGATCCTTCCAGTCATAAGATTGATCTTTCAATACCTCCTTTTTTCAGCTCAACTGTCGGAGGTTTTGCTCGACGTCGTGCTCTGATATATCTTGTAACAGCAGTGACTGCCCTTCTATTCAGCGTACTGTTGACTATTATGACAACGAATACTGTATGTTTGTTCGATGCGCAGTTCTTGTTCCACTGCTCAAGTACTTCCTTTTCAGGCTTCTCAACATCCAATTATGTATGGTGCATGGGCGCTCGCTTATCTCGTTGTCGTCTACCTTTCCTACAATTTCATCAAGTTCTGGATGGTGAAGTTGAGCACTGTGCTTGGACCAATCTAAATCCTCTTATTTGAATACGTATGCTGAGGTGTGGCGGAACAGATTCCTATGGGAATTTGTTATACCTGCCTCTTTTGGTGTACAGAGAATGAGCCATTCCGCGCCAAGATTAGTCTGTATGGATTTTGTGGTGCTGACATTTCCAGTCGCTTAAGTATGTTTCAAGCACCAGCCGTCTTCGAATGAGTATTTTTCGCCCTGAAGCGTCCTTGTGATCTTTAGCTTTTTTTCGTCTATTTGCGTTCATTAACCGTTATGTCACTTGTGATAGATTGACCAGGACTGATTCTTCAAGTATTCTCCAAATATCATTTCGTGATGTCACGAATGCTGTTTGAACCTGTGCTGGAGAACTAGCTCCAATGTATGGTAATATTAACGAAACGTGTAGCCTTCGACCTTCCGTGTATGTCTATTTCATTAATTCATTCATTTGTCCCATTTCAAGATTTTGTGTGGGAATGATTTTTTTTATTTTGATTAAATTTTCAGATTTAATGATCAACATTTTGGTGAAGGTTGTCAGCTGCTGCTGCACTCCTAAATCTATTAAAATTTATTTTCGTGTTTCTGGCACTTTTTCGATAGTGTGGGTCTTATGGCACGCTCAGTTATTATAATTGTGCTTATCTAGGTGTTTCACAATTTACGACTCCCCTTGAGCCAGTTTTTCGTTTCTCGTGCCACTGCATTTCTATGAATCGTATCGAGGTATGTACTTGTAGACTCTTAGTCCGCCAAGTGGCTTTCTTTTCCCTTTCTAATCAAATTCCCGACCATCGAATTTCCTAGTTGCGTAGAATAGCGGCTTGCTCATATCACAAGTTTCAATTTCTTTTGTTCCGAGCCAGCACTCACCGCCGCGTCTAACTTGTAGATTATGAAAAGTCCTGCGATTCTCGATTTGAAGCGTTCTGTTTTTTTTTTGTCGCGGAAAACCATTTAGCCTCCAGGGTGTTTTCTGCGACGAAAAATTCAAATTCATACTGCAAGGCGAAGCGTAATACATATAATGAATTTGTCGAAGCATGAAACCACCAATATACAGGGTGGGCCAAAATTATGAGGACCGAGGCATTATGTCGTCAAAAATGCACTGTGGCTTGATGGAACAAACAAACTGTTTGTCACTGTCATTTCAATGGATTTTAGGATTGAAATCTGCCACCTAATGCGTTCACACCAGCTCTTAAATGAAGGGGGATGGCGTGTACGGCGGCACGCAACTGGGAGTGTCAAAATGCTCCCGCGCGATTTCACTTGCACTTACCTCCAGGGTGTACCATATAGGAAGTTTAGAGGAATTAAGTGGACGATTCCTAAGCAACAATCTTTGAGAGCAATGAACGCAAAAATCCCTTTTGCAGAATTTTTGGTTCGTGATTGAGTGCTTTCTCCTATAGAGTGTAGAGCACTGTGGCTTTCTAACTACGGCAGATGTGGAGCCTTTGGGCTGTCCAGCTGGTTTTTACATCAATTTTTCGTTCTGGGGGGGGGGGTGCGAATCGACAAGAGGAGAGCGAATTTTTGCATATGGTGATTGTCCTGTTGGCAGGGTGAATATTGCTTGAGGATTCCTCAACGGCACGTCGAGGATTTTCGCCTGATCCTTTACGTTCTCGCGCGCGGATATTCACTCTCGCCACCCGCGAGCCGTCTGTGCTCTCCGCGCGTACATTCACTATCGGCTCTACTCTCGCACCAGAGTCGAGGAATTCCTCGACCGTTATTCACCCTGCCTGAGTAACTGTAGCCTTCGAATCTCCCCATTTTCCATCTATTATGGATCCGAACTATTGCCCATAAGAGCTTCCCTGTTACGTTGTACTGCTGCTAGGTGTAACGTGCCAGAACCCTCAGTGAGTTCAATTTGAGGATCGTATCGCGATGTGGTTATTTCACTAGTTTTGAGAACTTCATGAAATTTGGTTTCATTAGGAAGAAGACATTGTACCCTTTCACATAGTGCACAGAAAAGGAGATGAAAATGGAGCGATTCGGAAAAAAGTGGATATGACAGCGCGCACACGTGGTCCTTGTAATATTGGCTCACCCTGTGGCTTTATTTATTTATTTATTTATTCATCATGCACTCTAGGTGCGCCATCGGCAAACAAAAAAGCAGTGTTAACAACCAATATAAACAAGTGAAACCCTATGTGTGTAAGTAGCTTTACACCATACAGCCGTGCACCAGCCAGAAGAGAACGAGACCTTTAGGAATATGGATGCGGGAATAAGGATGAAAATATGGAAAGAAACCGAAGCATGTAAGATGTGGGCTAGCCAAATCTTGAACCTCGAAGAGTTACAACAACAATCGAGTCATCAAGTTATCACTCGACTAACTGAATGGTAAAGGAGAGACATCATGCAGTCTGTAAGTTAGCAAACTCCACAGCAAGCCATAAGACCTTGCGGCGCCAATAGGAGCGAACATATGAAGGGGAACGTGAATGTAGGGTCAGCCTGGTCAACGCAACTAACTAAGGCTTTAAATGAGTGTGCTTTAGAATTCTAACCAGGGAGTTGTTTCGAATTCCCAGGATCTTTGAGACCTAGGTAAATCGATAGAGCTTGGGATGTTGTTTACAAATGTGAGAGCCGTGTACACAAAGTAAGGAAGTTATCAGCGATCAAAATGGTCCCACTTTCGATTACACGTGGTAACAAAATTTACGTTCTAATTTGGCGCTTCCAGATTGGTGCTGAATTGCGCCTGCGCCTTCGTATCAGGAGCAGGGTGAATATCGCTTGAGGATTCCTCAACGGCACGTCGAGGATTCTCTGCCCGAGACACGATCTCTCGCGCGGACATTCACACTCGCCATGCCGTGCCGTCTGTGCTCTCCGCGCGGATGTTCACTCTCGGCACTACTCTCGCATGGTAGAGAGCTATGGTCGAGGAAATCCTCGACCGTTATTCACCCTGTTCAGGACCATCAGAATCCCTTGCGTGTAGGCTCTAACCAAGTATCATCATACAGCACTGCACTAGCACCTAACTTTGGCCGCTCACAATTTCCTAGGAAAGTTCACATAGCAGTTTTGCTTTTCATACTTGTACCAGGAGAGGCTCTATCAATTTACCTGTATCAATTCAAAGTTTCATGGGAGCTTGAAACGCTTTCCTGATAAAATCACGATATGTTTATTGTGATGGACACCTATTTTCTACCTTTGAGCTTCCGCGGGATCGCGAAAACGAGGAGATGTTGAGAAGTGCTCTTGTGTATTCTCCACTCCCGTCTCGATATTCACTCTCCCTTCCAGTAGGAGTAAAAGTGGGGAATGGATGTGTTTTAAGACACAATTCAACACTCGAAGAGAAGACTCGCTCTCATGGGGCATATGTGGTAGATGTGCTCACCGATCTATCCGCATTTTCAAGGTGGCCGATTAAGGAGATGAGGAGAATAATGCGCTTTGTCACTTTATACCAAATGTGGCTTAGGACTACTCAATCTCAATAAGAAATATCGTGCTTGTGGTCAGTGCCTTCTACACTACTGCCTAAATCTGTAGGAAGAGGCAAACTAGCACATTCAGCATTTTTTAAAAAATAGAAATCGCTAATGTCTGTTTTTCTCTTACCGGATGACGTTGTGGCCTTGAACGTACTCCGAACCCGAATACCAAATACTAATTCGCAGACACGAACAATTGTTTAGACGTAGTAGCTCATCGCGTGACTTTGAAATTTTACTGAGAATATTACTGCTTCTCCTTCTCAGATTCTTGGCTTGTATCGAGATCTTCTGCGTTACTCAAGGACACTCAAGTATACTGATCAAGAAATACTTCACTTCGAAAGTTCGGGAAGCTTTCGAAAGAAGCAAACGAGATTCGCCAGGAATCTGTATGCATAATTTCAATGTAAGTACATTACGTGCTGGAAAGTGCTTGCTTCTGGTGATTTCTGAACAGTTCGAATTTTTCAATTACGTTTTATTTAGTTAGTCTAAATAATTTATCATGTGCGATTTAGAATGCATGAGTTTTTGAACAGGGTTAAGATATGCGCTTTCATTTATCGTTATAAAATCGCTAATTTACCAGTTCTAGAAAGGGCGGCAACTCCTCTCCTTGAAACGTTTCATCTGAGAACATGGTTTGTGTGCTAGGAATTGAAGGCTCTGCGAATAAGATTGGGGTAAGTCACCCTACAAGGGTTGGTGAAACTTCAGTCTGGATTTGTTTTATTGTCGTCCTTCAGCTTTTTATCCATGCAGGTTGGCATAGTACGAGACGGGGAAGTGCTGTCCAACCCACGAGCAACTTTTCATGCACCACCTGGCGAAGGTTTTAGACCGAGCGAAACTGCTCAACACCACCGGCAACATGTATGTGATCCTTAACCTTTCTTGTAATTTAGAATTTTTTAAGTCACTATTTTTTCAATTTAGATCTTGAGAATTCTTAGCAAAGCTCTCGCCGAGGCCGATATCAAAAACCCTGAAAAGGAAATTGATGCTATTGCATATACCAAAGGGCCAGGAATGGGAGCTCCATTGCAGGCTCGTTTTCTCTTTTCAAGTTGTTGGAAAATTCTTCACAAAGCTTTTTTCGGAGAGTGAAAACCACTGAAAGTTTAGGTGGGTGCCGTAGTTGCGCGTTCCTTGTCTCTGTCTTGGTCCTTGCCATTGATCCCTGTCAATCACTGCATTGGCCACATTGAGATGGGTAGACTCATTACCGGTGCTGACAATCCTGTAGTTCTCTATGTTAGCGGTGGAAACACCCAGGTGAGATCATCCCTCTTTACTCTTCTTGTTTATGAACGCTACTTTCGTTTCAGGTCATATCCTATTCACATCACAGATATCGTGTGTTTGGGGAGACTATAGACATAGCCGTGGGTAATTGTCTTGATCGGTTTGCACGTGTCGTCAAACTTCCCAACGACCCCAGTCCAGGGTATAATATTGAACAAGCAGCCAAGACAGGTAGTTCTTCATTCACTGCTAATCAAGCAGAGTACAGTGGAAGTTCTTGCTTGGAATGAACTGAGAGAATGAGAAATACTATTTTGAGAAGTTTGAGTAGAGAATGATGACATCATTCTGAAAGAAGGCGTGCATCCATAGAAGTTGGTGGCTGTTAAAGTTCACGTAGAATGCTAGGATTTGATCTGTTACGTAGTGTGTAAAGTTAATTATACGTTGACGACAGTGCACGTTTTGGATTTTGCACCGCGTGGATACAAGGCTATTTGGCAGGCGCCGCCGCCTCACATCGGGAGACGGTCAATTCAATCGTGAGCTAATGAGGTCACGCGCGAGCATCGTTTGCGTTTGAGTGTGACCTTAGCTTTTAAACCTTTTTTTGATATTGCTGCATGCCAGTTCATAATTAGCGGGGGACTAGATACTAATAAGACCGAATATGCTAGAAATCAAGTGAAGCGAATAAGCGCTCCACCATAACTTAGATTTCGTGGCAGTGACTCTCGAATTCTAGACGCGATTGCTGCCGAAAAACATGTCCTGACATACGGTACAAGGTCTGCATGTCCTCTACTACTGTTTTTATATTCGATGTTCATGAAACTAAAGAAACGAAAGAATTGACCCGTATCATAGGACTGAATCTTCGCCATGCGACGAAAATATAAGCCATTCGTGCTTCCACCTGTTTCTATATAAAAATTCTCAAAAATTAAAATAAAAAATAGCGCATGCGCAATAAAGATATGACTTGATAAGTGTTGGATCGATAGACAGGGGATAGGCCGAGGTTACGACCTCATTATTTGAACCTGCGAGTTCGATTCAACTTCGAGGTTTAACCAATCGCCCTGGAAAAAATTGCATAAAATGGTCTAGTCCAGCTCCATGGGGGTTAGATCACGACCTATGAAGACAACCCAAGTCAAAAGTCGCAAAAGAATCAGTGTTAATAGCTAGGATGTGACCCGAATGCGCGCAGAGACCCACGCCCGGTCGAGGCTACTGAAGGATGTGAAGACTCGCCAACAGGAACTATTTTGGACTCTGACGTAGTATCGAATAACTGTCCGAGAAAGTCCCGAGAAAGCCGACATGCAGCTCACACGGTCCAACCACGGTGCTCAAAATGTGCTGTACCGTCACAGTTTAATTGTGCGCATTCCCTAATATGATTTTGAAAGCATTATTATCGTTTATCCGGTCGTTCCGCTTACAGCGCATTCCAGTGCGATCATCTGGGCCTTGCTAGGCGAAGGCGGGGTCTCTACAAAGATTACATTCAAGTAATGCGCCCGAATACCGCTCAACATCAATTGAATCCAAAAGTCTGCACTGGCACTGCAACGGTGTTGCAGCCAGTGAGGAAACTTCTCACATAATACCCATGATCATTACCTACGTAAACCGCAACCGCTTACGAAACTGAAGCATCAATGCACCCAGAGTATGTTGGCTTCCAGGAACATTCACATGCACAATTCTAGCACATTTAGATAAATAGACTGATGTGTAGTGGAGACTGCAGGTGTTGTAGGCGATATATGAGCACTTACCTCAAAACGAAACAATGCTCTCCTCGAATTAAAGTAAGCAATTATTGTTCTGATAAGTCAAGCAGGCAGGAGGCTTAGGCTTTGCACTGGACTGTTGATAGGAAATGCAGGCCGCTAGTATATTTTTGTTTTACTAATTCCATGACAGATTGGCAGACCTTCTGCTGAAAGTTGTCTAATTCCTGCTATGTTCAGTAAATCAAAGCATGTTTAAACATGTGACGACAGCTGTGACGCGGTAAACGCCGTCCCACTTTGCGAGCACCTGGAGAATTGTGACCGCGGATAACGCGTCCACACCCAAAATCATCCCCTTTTTAGCGGCTCTGCCGAACTTAACTTCCTGAGTATTTTTATTCAATTCCAATAGTCATTTTATATTAAGCATAATTAAAAGCCTACACATGGCTCACCAGAAAGTGTCTCAATTAATTCTTTAGTCTTAAGGTTGGCAGTTATCGTACTCCAGACCTTACGGATAGTCTGTTCAAATCCTTCCTTTCTTTCCTTTTCATAACGTGACATGTTTACTTTATATGAATGAATGCACACCCCCTACCTCCCTATTCAGTATGGGAGGTATGTGGTTTTAACTGAAAATCCAACGTCCAAAATTCAAATTTTGAACCCATTCAGTAATATAAGTCCCCTTTTAGCATGCCTTAACACGCCATTTGGGTTCTGGTCAAATGGGAAATTTATTGAACTGCCCTTGCTCGAACATGTCCATTGACGAAAATTGCAGGAGCTTTTCTATTGTATGCTTTTCAGGGAAGAAACTTCTTGATTTGCCCTACACAGTGAAGGGAATGACGTTGACATTTACTACATGGCATGATTATCCCACCAATTAGAAGAGTAAAGCAAACCACAAGTCCTATCTCAGGCGAATATAGCAGATCGAGATCTGTGATATTCTCTGCTGCAAGTGAATTCATCCAGATTCGAAATACCTGCCATTGTATAACTTCATCTGAAATATTATGACCGATATTGTATTCAACATATATTTTCTTAGAGCTTGGACCCAAATTAGATACCACCTAATTGTTAGAGAACGGTGGTTCGCTAATGCTTTAAGAAATCACCGGAAAAGAGCGAATGGCGTCAATACATAGCAGAGAGCTGCTCGTGATGCAGACAGAATAGTACTGCAAGTAACATTCGGCAATTGTTGAATTGTGATGTCAAGATTAGGAAATCTCTCTAAATTTAGAGGGAGGCAGACCTAAAGCAATCGAAACTATGACCTCTTTTGCAGAGCAACGTACCATTGATAGTGGTGCAACATGCCTTACCAATCTGATGTTGGTATGGCGTAATGCGGTCGGTAATAAAATTTTGTGCGGCGTCTTAACATCCTTCATGTATTGGCCCGTTTCATAAGCGAAATCATATTCGACCAGAAATAGATCCTCATTTTCGTCCGCTTGGTGCATTCATTCACTCTTGTTTCCTTATTCAATCCGATCGACCAAGTTTTCTGTAACAATTCGCCTTTAACAAGTGCTTGACGGCACTAGTTTTTTAAAACAACTCAATCGCCCAACATCGACCAGTTGGCGAATTTACGTGTTCTTGGTTCCAGAAAATGGCCGAATCTATGTGTGCGAACGTAGGTCGCGCGCCTTTTTGCTACGGACGAACGTTTTTGTATTGACAATGGGGCGATGATAGCGCAAGCAGGGTGCCTTATGCACGAGGCTGGGCTTAGATGCGAGGTACGGCTATGTTTTTTTTTCGCAAAAATTCCATCGAATATGTCGCGGTCCGCAGGAAGAATAAATGATTAAATAACAAATGTTTGCAGACTGAGAGATCACTCATGATAACCGCAACGGTTAGTCGGATCTTGACGTGACGGTCAACGTTTTTATTGGAGAAAGAGAAGTGACATTCAATTGAATAGGAATCTTCTCATTCTGCCACTCTGGCGTTAATCATATCGTTATGCTCCTCTGGCCTATCCTCTTTCCTTCGCATGTTGGTTCTTGGGTGGCTCCTAGCACAGTTCCGATAAATAACAAAAAAAATGACTGACCTTGAGTCTTTGTTTGGGTTTTCGAAGACTTTTCTGCCTTACGTGTCCCCTTAGCACTCCCACTTTCTTTTTTTTTCGAATCGTAATAACTTCGTATAGCATACATTATACGAAGTTATACTTTCAAGGACCAAAGGAGGCTATCCACTGATTAATTCTCCATCAAAACTTTTCCCGAGAGTTAAAATTAATGACGTGAACTGTAGATAATAAGACTGAAGACATTTCGTGAACCAAAGCCAGGACTCGCCGAACTTCAGTCCATCGAAACCTTGGATCTTACCATTCTTTGCCCGCATTCTCTTTGTGTTTCCTCGACACTCTCAATACAGTCAATGCTCTTAGTCATTTGTCTGAATAAAAAGACTACATATTACTGAGTATTTTTCTAGAATTTTTTTCTGAATGTTGTTACAATTTACTTGTTACATTTGTTGACACTTTGTATGGTTTCGATTTGTATTTCTTTTCTCGATAGCGAATAAACTTTTATAAGCCTGCAGTTCATTGCATCCGCAAGCCAAACCAAATTGGAAGTTTTGTTATTTTAAATATCTGCGACACTAGCATCGTTTACTTGGTTGCAGAGTCTAACAATCCAAAATTTTCGAAAATCTGAACCCAGAATATTCGTTTTGGTCCGTTCGGTTCACTCATGAGTGAAAGAAATGGAAACTAAGGCGAAAAGTTCGGCTCAAAATAGGGGCCTTTTAATGCGCCTATGAAACTAGTATAGCAGATCGATTAGGTGGAAACGACAGTGAGAAAGAGAAAATCTGGAGGAAAATCCCAAGTCGACAGGCCGCGCAACAAAACCATCTTTTCCACTAAAGCATTAGGAGGAGGCAGCTTATGGGTGATATGAGCAGCGTACGAAACATTTTTCCTTGGAGATGTCAGTCCGTTCTAATGTTATACGTCACCTAGCTGAATTTTCACACGTTATGCTCAGCCACAGCATCTACTTCCGGAAGTGCGGTCCTGATTGGACACAGCGGCCTAGATGAACCAAACCACCCGGGCCTTACGCGGTTTTCCTAAGTACGAGTTGCTGGCCTATGTCGTCAGCCCCACGTATAACGCTTTTCAGGCACGGGAATCGCTTCTTTAGCCGTGCTGGAGTCCCGAGCTTGCCTTTCAGAGATCTAACCGGGCCTCAAACTACGCTTCACGATAATGTCATCTGTCGCGTACTATTTCTGTAGCAGAGGAAGACTCTTTATATTCTTCCGGCGAGTGAACGCTGTGAAAGGAACTACTCAAACGGCAGCATGCTGTTCAGTTTAAGGAGCAAAGCGTTTACGGGTGACTTCGCATACGGCACCTATGAAAAAGCCCATGTTGTTCAATTACAGAACAACGCGACTCAAAAAATTCCGATCTCAAGAAGGCTCCAACAGTTTTTAATGCTGCCTCCGTCAGCTAATAATTTGCTTCCACGTAGTTGTTATTATTCATCATATATGGACGTACTGTGCCGTATAGTAGCAGATTTTGTATTAGTCAATTTTTACAAAACAGCGAAAAAGGAATTTAGGATTCTGATTCAAAACAACTCGCTCCAGGCGAGAATAGTTCAGCGAAACCTTTCACTTGCCGGGCAGCGACTGCCATACAATCCACCGAAGGCACCTTCCAATTTATGATTAGCCGCAGAATTCAGCGCTGTCGCTAGGAATTAGGAAGGCATTGTGGACAACACTTCAAAACCGCACAACATTTCCTTTTTGTTCACTGCGAGACTACCGAAAGGAGGTCTTCTAGAATGTTCAGCGTATTCTACACAAAAACGGTGTTAAAGGAATCCTTGCGCGGAAAATTCTTGCACTCTTTCCTAACATGAATATGTCAGTTGTGATCACTGGAAATAGCACACAAAGTTTCACGCATGAAGATTCGGTTTCTGAAGAGAAACAAACGTACAAAAACTACACGTTATGGACCATCGAAGGACCAGGAGCCAAACGAGGCATGGAAAGTTGGCCGGCTACGTATCAGGCGACGCAATGACGGAATCCGGGTAAAGTGATCGATTTTGGAGAATAGAGGCAAACAATCGATAGAGTATGATGCAGTAGAAGTGTAAGATGTGAATGCAATAAAGCAGAAAGCCAGAAAGAGTTTCTAGTGAAGGCACTCCAAGAACCAAGTGGAAGCATTTGTGAAGCCGTCCGTGGCACTTTGAACGCGTAGCAGCCCTTTCGATTTTTGAATTTTTTTACCAGAACGAACAATATATGTTTGTTTCCATTCTTATCGTGGATAATGAGTCTCAAGTCAGTGATTTATGGCCCAAATAAAGCATGATTTTTCCGCGAAGGATTTCCTTTGAGAATGCTGTAGGTGCTCTCACGTGGACTAGAAAACGGAGGCTTTCGCTGAGTGCCCAAAAAGGTCGTAAAAATTCACGCAGTAGGTGGTTTTACAGCGTCAGGGTGATGAGTCGAATTTCTACGAAAATCACCCCAGACTTTAGGAGAACGATCAGCGAATATAGAGCTCGGTTTTTCAGTTTACGCATGGGTTCCTAAAAGTGCAGAAAACAGTTCTGAGAAATCGCTTCACACCCTAAAAGACCTTCCATGTAAGCCCTAAACGCGGGACGAGATCCTACAGGGTGCGCGAGCACAGTCATCTAAGCACGTCCGTTTTGCCCCCTTAAGCTTACCTTAGTCTTTGCGGGCAATCTCGCATTATCAGGCGATAGTGGCCCACCTTTATGTGGTGTATCTGTTTTACACAAGCTTCAGCACTACCAGGCGATGATTGCACGTTACTAGCGGTCCGCGTTTGAATCCTGGGTCGTGAGTCGCCCGGGCCAACCAAGCCTTCCATCCCTCCGGGGTCGGTTAATTGGTACCAGACTTGTCTGGGAGGATAAAAACACTGACTTGTACATCGGCTGGCCCCCGCAAGTCATTGTATAGGCCACATCGCATTCAAACGCCACTACGAATGTACAAATGGAAGTAGAATGCGTGCCGCATCCCAAAAAGGGATTGATCAACGGCAAATGCTTTATCCTTTATCCTTTTATCAAGCACTACCAGCATAAATAACACACGAAATCAAATAATAAAAATTAATCGCGATGTGATCGTAATCTCAACATGCAATTTTCATTCTTACTGTAAAATACAATGGCAGTGTTGTGTGGCCAAATATTTTCCATGCCATGATAATGTGAGAGAAAATCGTGAAGTGTGCATCATTCCCTTCTCTCATCGCGGCCTGTGTTGTGCACCACACTCCTGCTTATTTTTCTCCAGTGTGAGCTCTTTCAACTCTGCCTTTCTCTTAATCAGTAATCTACAACTTGTCAAATATGTATAGCAAAATTGTCAAGATACTCGTATAACTTCGTATACTGTAAGCTATTAGGCTGGTGTCAGAGTCCGCGATTCGATTTGCGCGATTTTCGCGATTTTTGCGAAACCTGCGATGGGTCACAGGAGTTGGAGGTGCCCCGATGAATACTGCGAGGTGCTGTTTAATCCTGGAAATTGAAGGAAGACTGCCCGTGATTCTACTCGTTTAATGTTATGTCTATTATTCATTGAAATGCTCATTCGTTCAGGGACGGAACTGCATCTATTCTGAACTGACCATGAGGATGACCATGAGATCGCGCGGATCACAAAAATTGCAAGTGGCCCATTTGAACAATTGAAACACTGAATATGAAGCAAGTGGAAGAGAACACCTTGCAGTATTGAATGAGGCACTTGAGATTTCCGTGACCGTCGCGCAAATCGCGAAAATCGCGCAAAATCGCGCAAATCGCGGACTCTGACACTCTTACCTTAGGGAGTAGAGTGGAGAGATTGGGTATGAGACACAATGGAATTAAGGCAATTCTCATGTTTTTGAGTGACACGAGACTTTTTTGTTGCTGTTGCACCATTTTTGTTGCTGTTGCACCATTCATTGCACCTAACTCTGAAATTCCATCCAGAACCTATCGTGGTGGTTGCTTAATAAGCCATGCAACTAGTGGAAATGGATAAATGCACCCAAAATCTCTGCTATTGAGGACATATTCAGGAGCATTGTAGTAAACCCCATAGATTCCTCCCAAAGCGCCTAGATCATGCGTTCCGTAAACACCGGAACTTTGGGTGCATATCCCAGTAGTGCAATGGGGAAGCAGAGCACCCAGAAAGCAAACAGTAGGTCTTCGGCCAGTCGAAATCGATGTTTTGCTCATAAACTGCAGGACACACTGCATGGGTCGAGCAAACGTTGATCAGGTATGGGTTGTTTCACGGGTTGTTTCTTGTTCCATTCAAAGGTTTATCAGGAAAACTGTATAGGGAGGGGTTTATCCGAAGTTTTTCTCGGAATTGGAATTAAAGTGGAAAGGACCTTCGTAACCCGAAAGGTTCATTGCCGAAAGGTTCATTGCGTATTCCGACAACCCAACATTGCAAGAGCAATCTTGGCGCTCATGTCGGCAGGGGCGAGGGACATTCAAGTGAGTGAGCCGCTCACAGCATCTTGGACTAGACCATAGGGAGGGGAAGGGTTCCTGGGAAAGGATGGAAGAAATTTTTGTTCTTCCTGGCATTTGGCCTCAGCCTTGGGGTCAATTCCTTTGGCGCTTTTTGATGTCCTGTTTCGAATGTCCCCCTCCTCTTCCCCTCCCCCTCCCTCCCAAGGTCATGGGCGCTGCAATGTCTTCTTCATTATCTAGAGAATCGACATGTATGCACTATGTTTAGCACTGGAAATGGTTTTTCTATTGCCTAGCATTCCATAACTTTTAGAGAAAGCTGAGTATCACTTTTAGTTTTGTGGCATTCGTTCCCATTGCCAGCGTC